GTGGGGATTCCGGACCATGCAGCTAAAATGTCGACGCCTGGTGCTGCAAGATCAGGCTGCATTGAAGAAACAAGTTTATTACCAAGAGTTGACTGGTTTAATTGTGTCATTTATATTACCTTGAGGAGGTCTGCCGTAACAGGATTAGGCCCTCTTGACGAAAACGAAACAACGAATGGGGCGAACTGGTTGTCTTCCACCTGAGTCTTGATTATCGTTGCAGTCGGATTTCTATTCTAAACAAAAATTATTGATATTGAACCATGTTTTATTAACTTCCATGGAACAGATTATGTTTGTTAATGAAGTTAGTATACATACTCTGTCGTGTTCACGTAGTTGAAAACATGTCTTCCGTCATCCAAGTTCAAGTTCGAAAGAGGTAAACCGTAAGGTAAAACATAATCTTTGCGTTTGCCAGTCTGAAACACTGCACCAATGGCACCGGCATCGACCGGACCGTATGCCTGGCTGTAATAATCGCAGAAAAGAATTTTTCCTTCAATTAAGGTTCTATCCAATGCTTCCGAATTACAATACCTGCATTTAAAAGGCATTAGAATAAGATTCAGAGTTAAATTTGCAGCACAAAGTTTCGTAATTAATAAATATACCTGGAATCCTCTGATGTATAACCTTTGTTTGGTGCAGCTGCACCGGCAATGAAAGGGTACATTTTTCCGTCGAGGTCGAATGTGTTTATAGAGGTTCCCTAGAATATTTAAAGCTGTAAGTATAGAAAATAAATGGTTGAAATTATTAGAATGTAATTAGAATTACCCTCTTACCTCATATATCTCGCCATTTCCAAGTTTCACATTAGTGACAAACTTTCTATCAATGGTACTAGCAGCTACAGATAAGGACCAAGGTGAAACGTTCGAAATTGATGAGAGAATGGGACCGCTATTACCGGCAGAATTCGATGTCAATATTCCATTCTTCATCGAATGAAAAGCTCCGATAGCAATCGGATCATCAAAATAATCTGATGCGGAAGAACTCCCGACGGAAAGCGAGATTATGTCGACACCATCGGCTATCGCATCATCGAACGCTGCAAGAATGTCTTCGGAAGAGCAACCAAAGGACCAGCAAATCTTGTACACTGCAATGCGAGCTGATGGCACCCCACCACGTGCAGTCCCTTTGGCTAAACCGTATAAACTCGTCTTGCTAACAAAGGCACCTGCAGCCGTTGATGAAGTGTGACTCCCATGACCTTCGGAGTCTCTCGGGCATTGAATATCGTAATCTGGATCGAAATCTCCATCGGCTTTATAATATTTCGCTCCAATGATTTTGCTGTAAAGAGGTTCAAACATTGTTAAGGCCAATATTTCGGTAAGTAAAGGTTCTGGTTGAATGTGTTTTACTTGTTGCAGGTGAAATTGGCCGAGCTTTGGCAGGTGCCTTTCCATTTTTTCGGAATCTGACCGAATCCGGTATCGTTAAAGCTTTCAGACTCGGGCCAAATACCGGTGTCAAGCATTCCAACAATAATATCACTCTCAATGACTGATCTTAGAACTTTTTTGCTGAATCCCATAAAGTCCCATGACCTTGTCGTGTGGAGTTGCATCTTTTGGCTAAGGAAAACTGAAACCACCCCATCTTTTTCTGGAAACAATGATTAAACCCGAAGTTACTAACAAAATGAAGAAGAAATTGGAGTTTTAAAACGATAATTTGGTTAAGAAATTATATTGAGAAACCTCTAAGTGCATCTGCCTCATCTTTGGTCAATTTGGCAGCGAATCCATTGAAGCTCCGATGGTAGCTGTAGAGCAAAGCATCTGATCCGACACTATTGTTGGATTCAATTCATAAAAAAAGTGTTAGAATTTAGATAATATTGGTTAAAAGCTACAATGCTCAAATATGGGATTCGAGCATGGAACAAGTAAATGATATGAACCTGGGAACAACTTCTCGAAGCATGGAGTTGTGAAGGCTAGAAGTTGAAACCTTACCCTTGGGAAGGTTACCCATGTAAACAATGTAAACCTGCTTCAACATTACAATATAGCATTTCTTAATATGTGTGTGTATGTATATATATATATATATATATGAAGTAATTCTAAAGAGAGAAAGTTTGGTTGCCTGTCGATGATCAGAGGAAACAGCATGGCAGCAGCAGATGAGCATGGAAAGAGTGAAACTGATGAACAAAAGGTAAGCAAAAGATGAAGTTTGGGCTGCCATTGTTGAGTTTTTTTGGAGCTTGATTTGGAAAGTGAGTTCATATAAGGTTTTTGAGTGTTGGAATAAACTCCATGGGATTCGTTAATTTTTTAAGCACTTGAGCTTTGCTATGATCGCCTATGGAAACAAAGTTTTGCGCATTGCCGACCTTTACCGATTACTAGGGTTTCATTGTTCAATCAAAATTTGTTTTTGTCAAATAGTACACCAAAAGTGTTGATTACAAGAAAGAGAAAAAAGAATGCAAAGACAATTCAATTTGTTACGGTAAAATTTGTGGGTAATACAAATTGAAAGTTTCCCACATTTGTTATTGTAAAATTTTATATTATTTTTTTATGTTGATTAGCCTTATTAAGGTTATAACTTAGCCCAGAAGTTTGCATGTTACTTTTCTTGTATTAACATGTATCCTAGACATGTACCGCATAATTTATTGTCTAAATATTTTATCAAACTGTTTTTATTAATCTAATCGTGATTACAAGATAATATTTATTCGAAATACTCCCAACTCATTTGATAATGAACGCTCAAACACCCCTAACATATGATGTGTTCAAATCCATGACCTCTATTGATAATAATCATCACTTTAACCATTAAGATAAATTGATTCATAAATTTTACCGAAATGTTTAAATCTATATATAATATACACGACTTTATTTTATTTTTCGATTTTGATGTCAAGGAGATATATTCAAAAAATATCATTTTGAAGTTTAAATTTTAAAGTTATAATTGTGGTGAAATCGGAAGAGATTGTAACCCAAGACCTAATCTATTCATTACAACTGAATCTAATAGGTCACAATCAATATTAAAACCTTTTAAAAATATAATCATTATAATAACATGGTCTAAATCAGATGATAGCATACATATAAAACTAAAGTAATACGAAATTCAAATTTAAACCACATATCAAAATAATCCAATACTAATGGTAAAATTGTTATACATGTCATAAAATCTAATCTCTCTAAAATATAGGCACATGTCACCTAAGTAAAGATAATCTTGAAGATATACATTATAATAAACACGGAATGTATCGATCCTCCAAGAACAAATCAAGAATACCTATCCAAAAATATATGGAGGAGAAAATTTTGGAGAGTTAGGGAACTAAGTGTGTTTCAATAAATGTAACATAAAACATACATATAATTTAAATATTTACAAAATTATTTTAGTAAGGTAATCTAAAATAACAACAATGTTTTTCGTCAAATCACCCGACTACCTTCCAACCAAATATCAATATGCAATTCTTTAGGACTACATCCATAATGACTTATCCTAAGCTCACTACGTATAAGAGCCTACCTAGGGGTTATCTTAGATCCATAAAGATTTATCCTAGCCAAAGCGTAGGCCTCTACCTAAAGGAATACCTTCAGGTAGTGTTTGGTTCGCTAGAATCCCTTGAAATTAGGGGAAATTGGAATCCAATTCTATCACTTTCTCATGTTTGGTTCAAATTTTCAAATGGGGAATTAGAATTCAATTCTATCAAGGAATGAAAAGTAAATTCCATCTATAACATAATAAAATTGAAATCATTTGGATGAGGAAATGTGAAATTTAACCATACTATCTTCATCAATCTTTTTGTATTCGGGTCCAATTTTTTTTAAAAAAATTCGAGATCGGGTCAGATTTTTAAAAAGAAATTCGGGTTCGGGTCAGATTTTTTTAAGTTTGATATTCGGGTCGGGTTCAGGTTTATGGTGAAAAATACCCGACCCAACACGAAAAAAATATATAATTTCACCTTATATATTTAAGAATAATTACAATAATATCCCTTTATATATAATTTTTTTCAATTAAGTCACTGTTTTTATTGAATAAAAATATTTTTTTATTATTTCGAGTCAGGTCAGATCGAATTTCTAATTCATATATTCGGGTTGGGTCGGGTTAAATTTTATTTCGGGTTCGGGTCAGGTGTCAGGTGGAGGTTCCCTTATTCTCAGGTCGGGTGGACCAAAAACCCGACCCATGATCATCCCTAATTGGGATGATTTTAACTTATAATGTTTATTAGTATGATTTTTATAATTTATTGAAATGAATAATCAATCAATAAAATGAAAATTTAATATTTTTAAATTTTTATAATATATTGCTACATATAATTTTTAAAACAAACTAAAATTAAACAAAAAAAAGGACAATTTTGTCATTTTACATTACTGAAATCAAATTCATCTGATATGTCTGTGAACCAAACAGAATATGGAATTGGATTTCAATTCAATTTCCTTCTAAGAAAACAGGTTTCAGATTCAGATTCCAATTCCTTCAAATTTAGATTCCAATTCTTTCAGATTTAAATTCCTTCACAGATTCTAATTCCCTCAGAAATATTCCATCGAATCAAACGCCACCTAAATCCTTAAAGATTTACTCGTCTGATCAGAGCTACACCTACAGAGACTTCGTATCATGTCCTATAAAGTACCCCAGTAAAAGAAGCTATAGACGATATACAATAGAATAAAAAATCATAAGACATATATATTTGTTTTTCAGTAAAGCCGTAAACGAATATGGTTTCAAAACAGATTCAAAGAAATATTTCAGACAGATAAAATTGTCACGCTTCAAATCAGAAAGACTTATTCATGTTTCAAATAAGAGAAAACAATCGTGTTCAAATTAGATAAAATAGTCATGTGCATATGATAATTTAGATAATAAATTTCTAAATATTAAAATAGCACACAAAGAACACACTTCGTAAAAAGGTTAGTTAGGGAGGTTTACTGAGCACCAGCCTTGCTACGCTCTGGAATAGTGCTTGAACTTTTTATTTTTTATTTTTTTTTCTCGGAAAAATTTGTTTTATTAAGGATTTGAAGAAGCAAATCCAACACTTAAGTTGTGTGCCTCATTAAAAACCTCCCTATACCTAATTAGAGGAAAAGAGTACAACACAACTAGGTAACAGTTACACCTCGACAACTGATTTTACGAACTATCATCTAAAAGGCGATTGAACAAAACAATTAAAAATGCATCATATCGCAAATACAAACCCGACCAATTCTCTGCTGATAAAGTTTTCACAAAGAGATTAAAATCCATCTTCTCAAGTCACGCTTCACCCCTTGCTCCTAATAAACTTGATGCTCTCCAACGATCCTAAAACACCTTCATAATCAATAACTCATAACACCGGCAGCAGCATCCAGCGAAGACAGAAACATACAACACCAACCAACTCAATTCAGCATGAAATCACACAAACTAGCAACCAACAGCAATACCTACAATAATTCCCCCCCAGCTTTCTGATTTAGGAAAGAGAATGTTGGTGTAAGTTTTAAGCCAAGATCCGATGTTGGTGTAAGTTTTAAGCCAAGATCCGATGTTAACTTCAAAGCTTCAACCAAGATAATCCGAAAGAACACGGCAACCCTCAAACTAAAAGAGAAAAACAGCTACACTAAGAGCCCAATGATCTTGGAAGAGCAAGGTACCTTCCAATGATAGCAACAAAAACTATCATCCTCACTAGCACAAGAATAGAGGAAAAACAAACATACAAAAGCAACCAAGAGGATATCATGATCCTCCATTCTAATTCAGAGAAAGAAAAACCATGGACATTCAACATCCTTACCACATACTCATTGAGCAATTACATCACCACCACCATAAGCACAAGCCCCCAAAACTAGTACATCAAGGACCCCGCTTAAACACGAGCAAGACTTATGCAATTTTATTAGCACTAAATAATTGAAAATTGTGCTACAATCTTTCACCAAGCCTACAAACAACTCAACGAATCGATCCATACAGATCAATAAAAAATGCTCTGCTCGAATACCGAGAGGGTATTTCCAAAATTTAGGTTCGATAAGAACAGGATAGCCAAAACCACTTACTCCATATAGAACCGAGCTGATGAAAATAACAAAACTTCAAAAGAATCCTCTAATGATCCTTTAACATTTTTAGCAACCGAACTGTGAGATTCGCCCACTTAATCTTACTCAACCAATAAGACCTCCAACAACGAAATTTCTACGATAATGATCATCACCCTACTCATTCAAAAATTTTGACAAACACCTATCAAGAACAAATAACCCCAACCAACACACACACCCCGAAAAAATATGACTTACCTGAAAGAGTGAACCTTCAGCCTGCAACCTTCTTCTTCGACTGAAAGTTTCTTCTATTCTTACCAATTCATCAATAAATTCCTTTTCATCTCCAATAATTGTAATTCCCAAACTCTTTCCTAGATTCAGGGTTCTCTCAGCTTCTCGAATTAAAACTTTTCTTCTATTAGAAATACCAGAGTCTGATAAAGATTGAACGTCAATCTCTACACTCTTTTTCCTTTCCAATCCCGGCTTGCTCTTCTTAATAACTCGATTTCTCTTTTTTCTCTCTATATCTGAAAGGAAATTATTCTGGATCTGAAGCATTGACCCGTATTTTTTCTCCCTTTTCTAGCTCTGGCCGAAGCTTGCATTTCAGAGAAAAAGTCTCTGGCATCAGGTTCTTCCTCGAAACTGGAATGAAAAGGTTCTTTGTCTTCAATGAAATTTGCTACATAATTTTTTGGATTTCCAGACTCTGCCGTGTTTACCAAACCAACATCAGCAAATTCACCCTTCTTTAACAAATTATTTTTTATTAACCATATCAGCCCAGGGCACTATTTTCCCCTCCTTATCCAGACAAACAGAATTCGGGCACATTTCTGGAACAAGGTCTGGGCCCGTTATCTCATTTAAGATACCATTCTTAAAGCCCATCGAGCAAATATCATCCAAAACCCTTTTGTTGATAGACCCTTTTTCACCGTTAAACTCATCATGAAAATTTGAGATTTTATCCTTGGTTGACTGTCCCACACAAACATCTTCTGTTTCTTGATCTTTCCCAAGCTTACTTTTTGTTCCTCCATTTGTTTCAAATTCACCTAAGGAATTAATAGCCTCCATGCTGCCTTTCACGTGAATACGAGCGAACCGGGAAGAGTTGGGTCAAGTAAACGTACAGTCAACAAGTCAGTTCTTAACTCAATTCAAATATGCTTAAACAGAATATTTAAATATATATTCACGTTCGGGTTCAAGGTTAGATTCGAAGACATTCATGTTTGAATTTGATAAAACAAACTAAACAAACTAAAAATTTGGACTCACAGCATCAAAAAATCTAAAATATAACTTTTCAAAAAAGGTCAACTTTTGGTCGATTGTCAAAGTCCACACCGATGAACGATGGTCAACAGACAATTAATACTGGTCAACAGTTGATTATCAACTAAGCTCAAGTTGACTCAATTCAGTTTGGTTTGATTCGATTCAGTCCAACTAAATTGATTTTTGAAGACTATCCAGACATAGGAGTAGTCTTACAAGTAGAGGTGAAGTGTGTGGCGCATGGAGTGGCTAAAATCGAAGACAAGGATGGTTACGACAATATTGTAATAGGTATATCTTGGTTCAGAACGAATGGGGTGTTGCATCGTATATCTTGTCCTGACACCTCTGAATAGAATGGTAAAGCTGAGAGGAAGCATAGGCATATTGTTGAGATAGGTCTTGCTATGTTGTCTCAAGCCTCGTTGCCTTTTAAATTCTGGAGCTAAGCTTTTGTGTCAGCAGTATGCCTGATAAACCGACTTCCTATGAGTATTCTAAATGGTCGATCTCCGTTTTAAGTCCTTTATGGACAATCTCCAAATTATTCTCTTATTCGTGTGTTTGGCAGTGCTTGTTTTCCTTGTTTGCGTACCTTTAATCAGCACAAATTGAAAGCTTGTTCTCAAAAATATGTATTTCTCGGTTACAGTTCTTCTTCTAAGGGTTACAGGTGCTTGGATGATTCAGGCAAGGTTATTCTCTCTCGGCATGTTGTTTTTGACGAGGAGGAGTTCCCTTATAAGAAAACAAGTTTCGTGGATTGTTCATGTAATCGAGGTAAATCTGTTGTAACTACTGGTGTGCTGCCAATTGTTGTCCCTAATAGCTCTACCCATGATACTGACCATAGTCAGGAAGCACCTGTTACATCAAATAATACAGGAATACTACCTTGTAATGGCAATAGCTCATCTACTACAAGGTCTCCTACTGCCTTTGTGATTCCAGAATGTGTGGAACCATCTACTGAAATTCCTCCTGCAGGTTTTGTGTTTTTAGATCATGTGGAACAGTCATCTGTTGTGCAGGAGCCCATTTCTCCAACTGATGATCCAATTGTTGAGCCTGTTTCAAGGTCAGTACCTGCTTTAGAGGACAATATATTCGCCTTAGGTAATCCTTAGCTGACCTCTCAAAATTCTCATCCCAATGATTACGAGAGGGGAAAATGGCATTCGTAAACCGAAGGCACTTCATGTTGCCTGCCTAGAGAAGGAACCCTACTCCATCAAGGAAGCCATGCGTAGTCCTCACTGGGCTAAAGCTGTGCAAGAAGAATATGAGGCTTTAATGAAGAATGGAACTTGGTCGTTAGTGCCTCTTCCCAAGGGACGACAAGCTGTTCACTGCAAATGGATCTTCAAAGTGAAAAGAAATCCCGATGGGATTGTGTCTCGTTACAAGACTCGTCTCGTAGCCAAAGGGTTTCTTCAGCAGGCTGGAGTTGATTTTCATGAAGTATTTAGCCCAGTGGTCAAGCCAACCACTGTTCGTGTTATTATCTCACTTGCCTTGTCCAAGGGATGGCAGCTTCGCCAGGTTGACATCAATAATGCATTTTTGAATGGTGTGTTGACTGAAGAAGTTTACATGAAGCAGCCGCCTGGGTACGAACAAGGAAATGAAGGGTTGGTGTGCAAACTTAACAAAGCCATCTATGGCCTGAAACAAGCTCCTCGTGCCTGGTTTGATAGTCTTTGAATATATTTGATTTCAGTGGGATTTGTTTTGACACGATCGGATTCATGACTATTTGTTCAAAAGTCAGCTGTTAGCATAGTGTATGTGTTAGTTTATGTTGATAACATAATCCTAACATGGAGTAGTGTAGTTGAAGTTCAAGAGGTGATCAATGACTTGAACAAGCAGTTCTCCTTGAAAGATTTTGGCTCTCTTAGTTGTTTTTTGGGCATTGAAGTATGCTATGATGCTGATGGGTTAGTTTTAAGTCAAAAGAAGTACATTCGTGAATTGTTAGAGAGGTATGGCTTCAGTGATGCGAAAGAGCTTCCTACTCCTATGGTTTCTACAAGCAAGCTTTCAGCAAATTGTGATGAGGTCATTACGAATGGTGCTGAGTACCGTAGCATAGTCGGTGCCCTTCAATATGTCGTAATAACCCGTCCTGATATTGCTTACTCAGTAAACCGGGTATGTCAATTGATGCAGGCACCATGTAATACACACTTTCATGCAGTCAAGAGGATCTTGCATTATCTTCAAGGCACTGCTGACTATGGGTTATGGTTCACTTCATCACCAAGATTATCGTTAATTGGGTTTGATGATGCTACGTGGGCCTCTGATGTTGATTATAGGAGGTCCACCTCGGGGTTTTGTATTTATTTTGGAGGGAACCTTATTACATGGAGCTCTCGTAAGCAACAAGTCGTTGCACGATCTACTGCTGAGGCTGAATATAGGAGCGTTGCCTCTGCTGCTGCTGATCTGGTGTGGATTATGGCTTTGCTCAAGTAGTTGCATGTTGATGTGCATGGTCGAGCTACCCTGTGGTGTGATAATAGGAGTGTTGTGGCTGTTTGTGCTAATCATATGCTTCATTCAATTCAAAATTCAAGCATGTTGAGCTTGATTTGTTTTTTGTGCATGAAATGGTGGCTGCTGTAAAACTACAGGTGCATGAGGTCCCGACTTTTGAACAAATTGTTGATGTATTGACAAAGCCCCTCTCAGAACCTATGTTTTTAAAGCACCGACAAAAACTCTAAGTCACCCGATTGTTTAGAATGTTGGAAGAGCAAGGGGAATGTTGATCCTCACTCTACTGCTTAGGAGGTTAGAGAGCATTGGGAATGTTGATGTTATAGAAATGCAGAAGATGGGTGAATGTAATAGGTTTCTATAAGTTTACAATTGGTTATGAGTTAGTTAGTGATAGGTAGTTGAGTTTCTGTTATGAAGTTGTTATGCTTCTGTTTCAAGTCAGTTGTGTATGCTTATAAAGCTATAAGTAAGCTTTGTTGCAACAAGAGATGTATCTTGAATCTTTCTCATTAATAAGGTTTTGAGAGCCTCTTCTCTCTTCTCTCTTTTCTCTGTTCATTAAGTTGTGTTAATGAACCTTGACAAGTATGAGGGGTACTCCTCACCACACTCAAATCAAAATCACGCCAGAAATATGAAAAATAAAATGAAAGTAACCAAGAAGCTTATCCAACGACGGAGGAAGAAGGTAACGTTGACGAAGAGACACAACCATTTGGGTTTTATTTGGAGCAGCATGAGGAAACTAATGGTGATGGTCATGCGATGTATGGACAATGGAAACATCTAGAATTGCAAGAAAACAATGAGGTACAACCTTGAATTCCAACGATATTTTGAAGTAATTTCTACAATGATCGGCACGATTTTACAGAGAGAGAATCATAAGGTTTTGGTTGTGAAGAGGTGAGGAAGACGATGATTGTGGCGGTGTACGTCATGAGTCTAAAGTGACTGAGGTCGACAAAGATAATCAGTTGGGAGGAGTTGAATGGTTTAGAGTATTCTAGAATTGACTTGTTTTCAGATGAAGCATTAATTACGCTAGACATGATTGTGGTTATATAAATATGATCTAGGTCGATTTAAAGATTTTTTTAATATTTTAATCTTAATAGTGTCCTAACCTAGTTCGTAAAGACTTGACTTGGCTCTCTTTAGGGCATAAGTTCAAAATTGAAACTTCGTGAACTTTAACTTCACATTTTTCATTTCTTACAATTTTATATGCATTAATAGGGGTGTTCAAAATCGGATACCTACATTTTGAGGCACCCAAAGTACTAGGTACCAAGTTCTTTGGGTAGTGTTTGTCGGTTCATGACTCGGTCTGTTAAATTCGGGTACTCGTAAAATATAGTTATTCGTATTTTTGGGTAACGAGTACCAAGTTCATCTATTTTTAATTTAATTATTTTTTAAAAATCAAGTAGAAAATATATAAAAAGTTAAAAAAAAATCATTATACACAATCCATGCACAAAACTTAGTGATTTGAAGTTAGCTTTAAGGATAAATATTTGGATATACATATCACAGTTTATTTCCATACCTGACCCAATTTCCCATTTTTTTAGGTTCGGGTCAACCGGGTTAGGTACTTTTAAACACCCTATGCATTATCCAAAGAATGAAAAAAAAATAGGCTTCAAGTCCTCAAATTCTCCTAGTATTTCATATTGGTTCAAATTTTAATGAAATGTAATTTAGACCATGAATTTAACTTAAGAAAAAAATTTAACCCCTAGATTAAAGTGTGACAAAGATTTTATTAAAAAAATCATTCCTCTTTTGGAGAATTTCCCCTTGTGCCACAGACCGCGAGTTTGGGTCAAAAACTTGTGCGCAAATATTCATGGGAGAAGTTTCGTGCACAGTATTGGAGTTATCCAGATCACTAGACTTGGCCCAATCCTTAAATTATACAGCATATTCTATTTAGTTCAAGATAACTTAAATTTAAGGGATGATATAGATAATGTTAGGATAATATTTGCTTTGAATTTGAATTCCTTAGGATGAGCTAAAATAATGAATCTATTAAATGAGACCTAATCTCAAGTGTCAATGTAATTTAATCTTCGTAATACAACTCAACTATAAATAGGAGATCTCTCCACCTCATTTATAATCATTTCATTCTTTTAGAATAATCCAATTCAACCATTTACTCTAAGTTGTCCATTTATTCTTAGTCTCCAAATCTTTTTACCTTGTTTTCTTTCTTGGTGGCTTGATAGCCTCGACAATGTTTTACACTTTCGTATATTTGTTAACCCTAGAAGATTTGTTCGTTGTTGGATGAGCTTAAATTCTTACAAGGATGTGGTGAAACCTTATTTAGATGTTTAAGGTTGCACAAATTAGCTAGTCAAAACTCTAGCCCGGTGACACTTTGTCTCATGCCTATATAAAACATGTTACTCATTCCTATTCACTCATGAAACAACATTTTCCTCCTCTTCCTCTACCGTCTGAAATTTGCACAGTTTTCACTTTGTACTCAAATAAATTAAAAGGAGGTTTTTAACGACAATAAGTTTAATTCAATAAAAAAATTATTGCTGATAAAAAAAAAACTAAGTTTCAATTTTCTTTTGTGATAGTCTACGGTGCAATAATAATTTCTTCTTCGTTTAATTATTTTAATTTTTAAACATGTCAGTACTTTTTTTTTTTGGAAACAGTGAACTTACCCCTGCTAATCCATTTATTTTTATAGTACTTATTTCTAACAATTTTGAAGTAGTTATTTTTTGCTCAACGTCTCTCTTACTATCAAAGTACATTTTTTATTTGTACAAACTCGAGACTATAGTCTGAATAAATTATTTTTGTTGGTCTCCAATAATGTTCATCTTTTTTCAAACAACTAGAAGTAGGTTACGTATTGTTAAACCTACCCAGGAATTTAAATAGTATTCGCGGTCACGTTTTCGGTCTCATTTCGTTTATCACGGTTTCGGATATAACAGATGTCATTGCGAGTATCGCGGTCGTGAATTTTTTAAAATGTCGTATAATTTTACCCTAAAATGACTAAATTAAATAAAATTAAAATAAAATTATAAAATTTAAATTACAGAAATTTAGATTACTGAAATTAAGACTAAATTAAATAAAAATTAAAGTTTACATTTTAAACTAGGGATTAAATTATAAATTCTAAAACTGGAAGGGATGTCAAATTAATATATCCTTTAAATTATATTTTAAAAATTATTTTAAAAAATAAAAAGAAATAAACCAACTCTCCCTCCCCTTCCCCAACCTTTCTACTTTTACTCTCAAATCTCCCCTCCCCCTTCCTCCCCTGATTTTATTATTTGAAACAAAAAACCTTTTTTTTGCTTTCACTCTCAACTCTCTCCTCCCCGACCTTTTATTTTTTGAAACAAAAAAAAAAATTATGGTTAGAATAACGCTTATAGCGTCCTGTGATCGGCACAATCCACCGTCACCTGTTAAATTACGGGCGTGACATACCGTTGTTGATGTGAATCTGTTATCCACCGTAAAAATCATGAAAACCGGTTTTGGACGGCAGTGTCACTGCAATATCATAGCCGCTATCACGTTTTCGGTCCGAAATTTGAAACCTACCTATTACTGTTGAGGTCGTGAAATAGGTGAAACTTCAGATGATTAGCGACAAGTCATTAATAGAATAAGTTCACACCTACAAAAATTTAGTCTCTGACATATCCTTCAGGTCAATATTCTGTCGCGAAGCTGTGCAAATCATGATTCGATAACCAAAACTTTCTAAAGCATAAGGAGCATGATATTTTATTAGAGGAGCTGATCTGCCACATAAAAATCAAGAGGCAAAACCGTCTTAATGGAATCTTCTGATCCCAAAAATAATAAGTTTGAGGACTCGCCCCATCCAAAGAAATCAACCAACTTCGAAAAATCAGGAGCGAACAAAAAATTCTTCGTGAGTTGCTACGTATGTGAAAGTTTCATTTTTTTTTTTACATATTTATTGATTTTTTTCTTAAAATATTATCCTTTTGTACTTATAACTCATGACGTTCAAGATATTATTATAAAATAAAAAATATTTTTACTTTATTTATAGAATTTAAAGATTATTTATAATATATCGTATTTTATGTATTAATTTTAAAAGTATATTATTTTATAAATATTTATAAAATTAATAAATAAAAATAGTATATTTATAAATATAATATATCTCTCCTTGATTATTTATAAATAATATATAAATAACATATAATGCATAAATATATTTTATAAAGATTAAATATAATATTTTAAAATTATAATGCGATTTTAAGTTGGTTAAGTGGTTAAGTGTTAGACTTTAGTCCTTAGAGGTCATTGTTTCAGAATCTTTTAGGCGTATTTATTGATTTTTTCTCAAAATATTATCATTTTGGTCGAAGATTATAATAAAAGAGTAACAGAATGTTTTCAAGCATCTATGATGTCTTTGGAAGTTTATGCGGAGGCAGATTAGACTATACTACAAGAGAGATCAAAGATCAAAATCTGGAATCTCAGTTGAAGGAAGCATTAATAAAGAACAATTGGAAACTGATACAGGTTCATTTGTAGCTTTCCATTGCTTAACCAAGTATTTTTATTTTCTCAAAGGTCGTTGGATGTAGTTTAAATTTCGAACGAGAGAATGCTTGATGATGGTGCAGTCGTAGATAAGACTGAAGCTGAAGTGCTGAAAGAAGGGTTTTCATCTCCAGCTCGATGTCAAGAGTCTGATGTTGGTGCCTTGAGTGTGGTAGTGACACAATCACAAGTTTAGACAAGTGTTGGGGTTTTTATGAGGTGCCATATTTATTATCATATGGGTGTTTTATATTCTGGTTAATTGGTGATTTCATGGTTTAATGGAATTCTGGCGATCGTTTTCATTCTAGTTGGGAGTACTCTTTTCCTCGATTTAGGTTTAGATAAGTTTTTAATGAGGCTCACAACCTTAGCATATATTATTTAATTCTTACTAAAATCATATTGCCTAACAACCAATAATATAATTAGAAAAAAATAAAAATTTCATATTTTAATTAAAGTAATTAAAAACTCAATGATATAAATAATATATTACATAAAATTTAATGATATATAGTTTTACTTATCTTCATTTATATTATAATATTTATAGGGATATAAAGATATTTTTTCGTCAGTTTTGTTAGTTTTTTACGGGCATCATTTTTCACGTCAAAATAATTTCTTTCTTTTTAAATAATATTTAAAGGTAATTAAGCGTAATAAAAGAAAAGTAATGGTCGATCCTACAGAGAATAAAGAAACTTCCTGATTTATTCGTGTTTTTTTAATCTTTGTCCCAAGAAGTGGATGTAGTAAAATTTGAGTACGGAGGATTTTTAGATGAAGATAGTAAAGTAAATAAAACAAGAAAATAAAGAAGATTAAAGAGAAAAGTAAAAGAAGATTAAGAAAAAGATTTAAAAGAAATAAAGTCAACATGGTAAAATCAACCTTGGTCTGTCGCTTTGACTCAGTTTCTTCGAATCATCGAAATTGATTTTTACTTCGAGATTCACGTTGGTTAATCCTTGTGACTATGCTTTGTATATCAAATACCCAAGTGCAACCTTCGATTCCGGCTTTGGAAATTAATATGATCAACATCAATTTTTGTAGACCAAGAACCATTTAAGTTCGTAAAAGATTAACTCGGATTATGTTGTTTCAATAATAACATAATATTTTAATATTAGTAAAAATATATATTAGTTTAATATTTTTAATTCGTAAGAAAATATTAACAACACAATTAGAGTCTAAACTGAATTAAAACTTAATTGTTATATTTTAATTAATTATAAATATTAAATGAATTTATTTAAATTAGTTTAATAATATGAAGTTAACTTTCTGATAAGTTTTTTTAAATGCATTTTCAAAAAAAAATTATCTTTTGTTGTTTAAATATTGATATAATTTTTTATATTTTTTATTTATATTATGTCTTTTTTAATATTGTCAGTTTTATTTTTTATTTATATGATAATATAATATAATATAATATTTATTTACAAGGATAATACAAAATCATATTAGTAATTAATTAAAAATATAAATTTTAATTCATTCGGACTCTAATCCAGTATAAATAGGCCGATAGAAAAACATTTGTTCACTAGAATCGACATGGAAGGAAATTTCATTAAATCACTGCCTCCGGGTTATAAGTTCAAGCCAACAGACGAAGAGCTGGTTGATTTTTACTTGAAACGGAAAACCTACAAGATACCATTGCCACCCGTTAACATCTTTAGGGATGTTGATCTCTATAAGTATGATCCTTTTACTCTCACAGGTTTGTCTAAAACCCTAATTTTCTTTTTCTTTGCGATTTGACGTTCTTCTTCGTATATATGTTTATATATCACTTTGCGATAATATTTTTTTATTTTCATGTTGTCAGGGATGTGTGATAATGCAACGTCGTGGAATGACATAACAACGGAGTGGTATTTTTTCACACCAAGAGATCGCAAATACCCGAAAGGCTCGAGGCCTGGGCGAAGCGCCGGTGATGGGTACTGGAAGGCAACTGGAAAGCCTACTCCGGTCATCTCCGGAGAAGTGGAAGTCGGATCCAAAAGAAGTTTGGTCTATTGCAGAGGTAAATCACCTAACGGTGAAAAAACCGATTGGATCATGCACGAGTATGTGTTAGCCCAGTCTCCACCAAGACAGAGACTTAACGACCAAGATATGCAAGTAAGTGTAACCCTTCTTTTCCAATTTTTTAAATATATGAAAAACTTTGAAGAATAAACGTTTTTATCACTTATTTTCGACTTTGTTTTTCCTTTTTCAGCTTGATTGGGTGCTTTGTAGAGTATATAAGAAGAGGGAACCAAGGTCAAAATCTGGAAACCTAGTTGAAGGATGCAATGATAAAGAACAAGAAGAAAATGGGATTTCATCTGATGCCTTGAAAACGGTGATGCCACAACGAACTAGTTCAGTTCCTTTTTCCAATCAATACAATGATTATATGTTCCCACGGTATTCGGAATCTTTTGGTGCTGGGACAATGCCTGCTCCATTGGCATCAATGCCTCTTTATCATCAGTTTCAATCCCAAGTGCCAACGTGGCAGCATTTTTCCGGTGCCGGTTCTAGCAATTTGAATTTCACTGCGTCTATGGATCAAGAAAAGAATTTCACAGCGTCTGATGGGTTCACCTTAGATGTACAACAAGAGGAAGTCGACAATGGTGCAATTTTAGCTAAGAGTGAAGCCGGAGTGATGGAAAATGGACATGATGCCTTGAATACACTGATTACTTTTCCCGGTGAATTCGATGACTGTCTGCTCCCAGAGTTTCCAGATTTTTGTGATTCCATGTTAGGAGAAAACCCTACAAGTTACGGTTGCCAAGAAACTGTTTTTGATGATTTTAGTTTCACCTCAACACCTACTCCATTGGCATCAATCTCTCCTAATGATCAGTTCCAACCTCTTCACTTTGAGCCGCAAATGTTGCCCCATCAGCAGCAGCAGCAGCTTTCTGTTGATTATCAAAGTAATTATAGTTTCACAGAGGCCGATAGGTACATTTTAAATTTCGAAAAATAGAATGTTGATGATGATGCGGTCGTAGCTGAGAGTGAAGTTCAAGTGTTGAAAAATGGGATTCCACGCCCTACAAAACGTAGAGTTTGATGTTCATGCCTTGATAGTGCACGGTGATGTCACAGAAACAATTTTAAACTAGTGTTGATCAAGTTCAGTTTATATTTTTAGTGGGTTCTCTCCTTTGAAACGTTGTTATAAAATTATTTCAATATTTGTTTAGGATACTGAGTTAGGGTATTGACCCATTAATTGATTTAGGATATGCATTTGTTGAGCTCATGAAGAATGTTGTATAATAAGATTACTTAAATCATTTTACTCCAATGTGATTACATGTATTTAGGGTATTCATACTTGTATATTTGTATTTATTTTACTACTCCAAGTGCATATATTTAGTTTGTAGTGTAATTTAAAAAGTTGTACATGTTTCGATTTGTAAAGGGTATTGTAACGTTCTGGATTTTGGGTCAAATGAGATGAGTTGACTCGAGAGGTTTATAAATCAATGTAGTTGAATAATCTGAATTGCTCTGCAAATTTAAGTCTAATTAGTGGAGAAGTGGACTCTTTATTTATGAAAAGGGGATTTTGACAGGAGAGTACATGACGAAGGAAATAGGAATAATATTGTAATTATACCCTTGAGTGGTAAAAGGTTGATTTCAGAGGTAAAAACTTCAATTAGTTGCATTGATTGGACGAAATTTCAGAGGTGACGGCTGTAATCTACGTCTTCAAAGCTTGGTTTTGAGCTAAGTAGCTCCAAGGGTTGTGTTTTGGGTGGTTTAAGGAGGGTTTTGACGCCTTGATCTAAACTACCTGCCTTAGTCCGATTTTGATACTACTAGTTTCGTTTTTTATCGGCTAATAATTCATTTTTTATCGGTTGTGTAACCAAGGGAGTGGGAGAAACCTCTGAGCGGTCAATTTGGCAGCAAATTCATTGAAGCTCCAACGAATGATGCAAGATTTTATGTTGAGGTCATTGAAGCTCCAACGAATGATGCAAGATTTTATGTTGAGGGCGAACTTAAACTTAAGAGGGATGAATTAAATCTCCAGGGGACGAAACAAAATTTCAATAAAAAAATTACATAAAAAATTAAAATATATAATAATTTTAAATTTTCAGGGATGACTACCCCACTCGTTCCCCCGGTCTATCCTTGAAAGCAACTCTGTAGAGCAAAATATCTGATCCGACACTACGGTTGGATTAAATTATAAAAAGGTGTTGGAAAATCTTAGTTAAAAGCTACAATGCTCAAATATGGGGTTTGAGTGTGGAACTGGGAACAACTTCTCGAAGCATGGTGTTGTGAAGGCATGAAGTTGAAAGTGAAACATTACCCTTGGGAAGCTTCCCCATGTAAACAATGTAAACCTGCTTCAACATTACAATATAGCATTTCTTAATATATATATATATATATATATATATATATATATATATATTGTTGGAAAAAAGTGATGAAGTACTTTGATGGATTTAATATTTATATTAAAGTCATAATCCTTTTAAATATTGTAAATTAAAAGATATTATTTAATTTGACTATTAGTAGGATAATTACTCTTTGAATAAGTCAATTTAAAAAGGTATTTAATATCTTTTTAACTTTAAATATTAAAGATAATTATATGCTTTTAGATATTTTAAATAAAATAATATTTTTGAAGCTTGAATAATAAAAAGAGTGTATATCTGTTTAATATTTTAAATTTAAAAGATATTATTATCTGTTTAAATTTATATATTAAAAGATGTTTGGTTGGAATAAAACTCTCAGATTTAATTTTTAAATTTAAAAGATATTATTATCTATTTAAATTTAGATATTAAAAGAGTTTTAATTGGAGTTAAACTATCTCGAAATTGCCTATAAATATTGAGTAAATCTCTCAGTTTTTTTCACAACTCATAATTCAAGAAGATTTCTTCTCTTAAAAATATTTTCTCTTCTTCTTAGAAAATATTCATTTTACCTTAGTTTTTTCGGTGATAGTCAAATGTAAGAAAAGTTCGTGATCTCTACTATTGTGATACTGTAGCTGATCATCTAGTTGGTGTATCTTGGGAGACAGACGACCAACAAACTTAAGCATCATAGAATGACCAAAAATCTATCTTAAGGAAATTGTGTAGCGACAGTCCTCAACTGATTCCGATCTCAATTGATCAAAATAAAAAATAGTATTTTTCTTTCTATTTAATTTTGATTTATTTTATGAAATTTAATGTCTTTGTTTGATTTTCTCAGGATTGATTTCGTCTCAGATTGATACTCAGGTCAACAATCTTAAGACAATAAACTTGTTTTATCCCTTTAATTTATAATGATAATCAATCATTATTATTTTTTATAACATTCTCGGATTAATATGCATAATTTTTCTAACAATCTTAAGACATATTTGATTTTCTTATTTTTTTTATATGATGTAGAACTCGAGAGCTTTTTTAATTATTTAGAACCCTCGGTTATAAATAAATCTTTGGTTCAATAGTTGAAAATATATTCTTTCATTGCTTTCTTTTCACGATATTAAACATGGTCCAATATATGCTTAGTTGAGCTTCACTTAACCTAGAGTTTTGCGATGCTCAATTCTAATCGTGAGAATTGAGATTTATTCTTCACAACATTAAAATATCATTTTTTGATTCTTTAGAATCTAGGAGTGACAATCGGTCATTTCTTTAAAAGTTATATCACCTAAATTTCAAAAAGTCAACGTTGGTTGAAGGTTGTTTTGGCTGGTGGTTTGGGAGTCGGACCGTTAGTTGTAATTCAGTTTCCTTTGAATAAACTTTGTGGCAGTCCACTAAGGGGAGTCAATATCGGGTTTGATTCTTAGAGAGAAGCTATAACTCGAGTCGAACTCTTTCTGAACTCAAAGTTGTCTTGATGCTAACGATAATAGACGTGGTTAGATCAATAAGGACCGGATTTCAGAGATAAACTTGAAAATTTCTGTTAAGTAGAGAGAAGAGTTAGCTACAGGAACCAACCCCATTAACAATAATCGACGTGCTCAAAGAGGAAAGATTTATTTCGATGATCGATCGAAGTTGAGGCTAAACAAATCCTAAGAAAAAATAAATTTCATTGAACTCTTTCGTTATTTTATTCATTCGCTTTATTTACTTTATCTTTACTTCTTTTTTATTTATTTACATCAATTATAAATCCCCATTTTGCTTTTGCAGTTAAAAACAAAAAATTCAAACAAGAAGATGAATATATTGTTGAAAGTTAAAAGTAAAAAAAAGGCAACTAATTTCAGTATATTAATGCATCGAATTGTTACAATAATAATTTTCAAGAATTGCTGCTGGTTTTGGTTGAAATTTGGCAATAAAAAATTACTCATTTAGTCCATACACTTTAGGATATTTACAAGATTAGTCTTTAAACTTCAACTATAAATACCCTAGCTCATTTAGCTTCAAAACCATCCCAAATCATTCCAACTTTCTCCCAATACTCGAGAAATTAGAGAGTTTTCTTTTATAGTTGTTTTCTCCTTTTTAACAAGAGAGAATTGTCGTTGTTTTCTCATTGTTAAATTGAGAGAAGTTGTAATTCTTATTTTCTCTTAGTGAAATTCTTTTATCTTTTCCCGTTGTTTTTACCTTATATTATTTAGGGGGTTTCCACGTAAAATATGTGTCTTCTTTATTTTCATTGTTATTTTCTCAAATTATCAGTTGCAATTTTGCTCTATCCGATGATCGTATTCCACAACAATTGATATCAGAGCCTGATTTGAGTGTGTAATATCTACTTATTTTCTTTGTGGTTGCCACCAAAATGTGGATCCTCCAACATAAGAAAGTAAGAAGGTATTACCCATTTTTCGAAGGTTCCAGAGAACTATTCACGATAGTGAAATAGTGGGAGCTATTTTTTATATAAGCTATGGCGACGAAATTTGATATTGAAAAGTTCAATGAGATAAATTTCTCATTGTGGAAATTGAAGATGAAAGCCATCTTAAGAAAATACGGTTGTCTAGTGATTAGCAGTGAAAGACAAATATATTTCATAGATGACAATAAATAAAACAAAATAGACGGGAATGCTTTGGTAAACCTTCATATAGCATTAGCAGATAAAGTATTATCAAGTATCAAGGAGAAGAAGAAAACTAAGGAGATTTGGGATCATCTCACCGAATTGTACAATGCCACATCGTTACACAATAAAATTTTTGTTAAGAGGAAATTGTACACCCTTTAGATGTCTGAACTTATTTCAGTGGCAAAACACTTAAAACATTTTGAACACTTTATTTTCTCAAGTTACATCCTTATGTTATACAATAACAGAACAAGAACGTGTTGAACTTCTACTTCAAAGTCTACCTGATTTGTATGATCAACTCATCATCAATTTGACAAATAGTAATGTCTCCAGTCTAGTCTTCGATGACGTTGTAGCTGTTGTTCTACAAGAAGAAAATCGATGCAAGAGTAAGGAAGATAGACAAGTGAATCTTCAACAAGTAAAGGTCATGACAACGATGAGAGAAATATCAACAAAGCGTAGCCAAAACAGAAGTCACAAACATGGTAGATCAAAGTCGAGAAGTAAGAATAATTTAAAGTGTTACAATTGTGGAAAGAATGGTCACTTGAATAAGGATTGTTTGAGTTTAGCTAAAAACTCCAATCACAAGACAATACTGCAAACACTTCAGATGATGGAAATGCTCTATGTTGTGAAGCATCAACCACTATAAAAGATAGAAAATGAATTGCAGATATATGGCTCATTGATTTGGAAGCAATATATCACATGACCTCAAGAAGAGAATGGTTTCATCATTATGAACATGCCTCAGGAGGATCTGTGTATAGTTGCAATGATCATGCCTTGGAGATTGTTGGCGTTGGAACCATCAAATTGAAGATGTATGATGAACTATTAAACTTGTTCGAGATGTACGATACGTGAAAGGCATGAAGAAAATTTTATTATCCTATGGATTGT